GCAGAGTCCTCTGTGTGCTGCCCTCTAAATGCGCACAAAAATCAATTTTTTTGAATATCTGTCAAATTTAACTGTTTCGGATCATCAAAGAAATTTGATATTATACAGAGATAACCTGAGTAAATACAAAATGCAGTTTTTAAATCATTTATTAAGGGAATGGAAAAGGTTGTCCAAACCTACCAACGTTCTATATGAAAAACCGATTGCCCTTCAACCTAATAACTGGTTGTGCCACCCTTGGCGAAAAAATTGCAATCAAGTGTTTGAGATAACTGGCACTTCAGCTACCGTAATTGTCGGGCTATAAGCCGCTACTTTTTGCACAAGCTCTGAACCCTGCGGCTTTTAGTCAGGTGCGGCTTTTCTATGGATTGTCCATGATTTTTGTGATATCGTAAGAGGATTTGTTTTGTTTGTTCCGCTGTTGTACGGCACTACGTTGCCTGGTGGAAGGGCATGTGATCAGACACACAGTATCGGGGTTCAAGAGTGTTATGTTGGTCATGTGTCCATCCGCCTGGCAACATAGTGCTGTACAAGTAGTGCGAAAAACAAACTTCAAATTAACGCTACGCGTTCAGCGGGAGTCATGGATGACGAGCGGCAATAAACTTGCGAAAAGCAAGTTATGCTCAACTCCACCATTGGATTCTGACAGCGTGGAAAAGTGTGAAAACATCCATGATCACCAACGGATTTCGAAGGGCTGGACTGCTGCATGATGGAGAGGAGGACACCGCCACGGCCCTTCAGAGGGTGTTCGACTCTGACACTGACAACGAGGATTTCTTTGGTTTTGAAGTGACAACGAAGGAAAGAAGCTGAGAGTGGATGACGTAGCCATCCTGAGCCTGTTCGTTCCGACACTGGAGAAGAGGACTTTGGTGGTTTTAGTGCGCAGGAAGAAGAGAAAGATGGTGGTGAATGACTGACTTTTCTTCTTGTTAAAGCCGTGTCACTGCACCTGAGCCTAAAAGGTAGTCCGAATCTATTTTTCTGGTGTGCTGTAGGTTATTGTTATGTACTACATTTGTTACTCATTTATGAAGCACAGTACATGTTTCGTACTTGTAATTACCGCTACTTGTACATATACCTAAAAAGTTATGCAAATATGTACCCATAACTTGTTTTTCAAAATATTAATAAAAGGGGTGTGTCTCCAAACAGCCATCTCTTTCCTGACAATTCCCTTTGTGCATATTCTCTTACATATGATAAGTCAACATTGAAACACCTGCGGCTTTTAGTCAGGTGCGGCTAATGTATGTACAAAACAGGATTTTCCCCTGATTTTAGCTTGTGCGGCTAATATTCAGGTGCGCTTTGTAGTCCGGGAAATATGGTACACTGGAGATTTTTGCAATCATGAACGGCCTGTTTAAGGTAATTCTAAAGAATCTTAATTGCATTTAAGTTCACACTTTGTGCTTCAGCTTCTGTGCAGAAACTACTGGACAGACTTTCACCAGGATTTTCTGGTGGAGAGCAGAATTCATAGTTCCATCAATTATGGCAGGTCGTCCCAAAACAGCAAAGCAGTTCCAGATCATCACACTACCAGTACTATGCTGGTGCCACAATTGTTGGTATAATGCTTTTTTAAAAAATGAAATGATGTGTTCATCCATCCATCCATCTTCATCGCTTATCCGAGGTCGGGTCGCGGGGGTAGCAGCCTAAGCAAAGAGGTCCAGACCTCCCTCTCCCCAGCCACCTCCTCCAGCTTGTCCGGGGGAATACCAAGGCGTTCCCAGGCCAGCCGAGAGATATAATCTCTCCAGCGTGTCCTGGGTCTGCCCCGGGGCCTCCTCCCGGTGGGACATGCCTGGAACACCTCGCCCAGGAGGCGCCCAGGGGGCATCCTTGCCAGATGCCCGAACCACCTCAGCTGGCTCCTTTCGATGTGGAGCAGCAGCTGCTCTACTCTGAGCCCCTCCCGGATGGCCGAACTTCTCACCCTATCTCTAAGGGAGAGGCCAGCCACCCTTCGGAGGAAGCTCATTTCGCCGCTTGTATCCGCGATCTCGTTCTTTCGGTCACTACCCACAGCTCGTGGCCATAGGTGAGGGTAGGGACGTAGATCGACCGGTAAATTGAGAGCTTCGCTTTTACACTCAGCTCCCTCTTCACCACGACTGACCGGTGCAGCGTCCGCATTACTGCAGCCGCAGCCCCAATCCGTCTGTCGATCTCCGGCTCCCTTCTCCCATCACTCGCGAACAAGACCCCGAGATACTTGAACTCCTCCACTTGGGGCAGGAACTCATCCCCGACCCGGAGTGGGCACTCCACCCTTTTCCGGCTGAGAACCATGGCCTCAGATTTGGAGGTGCTGATCCTCATTCCCGCTGCGTCACACTCGGCTGCGAACCGTTCCAGTGCGAGCTGGAGGCCCTCACCCGATGAAGCCAACAGAACCACATCATCCGCAAAAATCAGAGATGAGATTCTGAGGCCACCAAAGCGAAAGCCCTCCGCCACTTGGCTGCGCCTAGAAATCCTGTCCATAAAAATTATGAACAGAACCGGAGACAAAGGGCAGCCCTGGCGGAGCCCATCACCCACCGGGAACGAGTCCGACTTATTGCCGGCAATGCGTGTTCATATTTATGATAAATGTAACGGAACTCAAACGTTCCAAAAAGTTCAACTTTGCTCTCGTCAGTCCATAGAATATTTTCCTAAAGGCTCTGGGGATCATCAAGATGTTTGGGGAGCTTTTTCGGCAAATGTGTACTCTTTTTGATCACCAGTGGTTTTCTCCTTGGACTCTCCCACGGATCCCACTTTTGCCCAGCCTCTGTCTTATTGGTGAATCATGAACTCTGACCTTAATGGAGGCAAGTGAGGTCTGGAGTTCTTTAGATGTTTTTCGGGGTTATTCTGAGACCTCCTGGTTGAGTGATTGATGCGCTATTTGTGTAATGTTGGTAGGTCGGCCATTTCTGGGAAGGTTTCTCTGTTTGTCGATAATGGCAATCACTGTGATTCACTGGAGTCAGAAAATCTTAGTGATAGCTTTGTAACTCTGCACTGATAGATGTAAAAGACTTTCTTGGCTATGTCTTTATATCACAGTGTAATGTGTTACTTTTTTAGATCTATTAGCCCAATTCACTTTGTCAGACAGTTTCTATGCAAGCGATTTCTTGATTCATGTTTAGCAGTAATCAGGCACGGGTGTGACTAGTGAAACTGAACTTAGCTTTCCAAAGAATCTGGCCAATCACCTTTAATTCATGATACATGAATGATGCATTTTGTACACAGGATCAGGTAGATTTGGATAGCTTGTTTCCCTTACAATGTCAAGTTTATTCCTAACAAAGAAAATAGTTGATGAGTAATTATCCATTCAGATAACAGGTGGATGTTGGGGCGTGTAGGAGTTGAAGCAAGCAGCAGCAGTGACACATGGAGGGATATGAAACCTGCACCTTTACACAGCTACATGTACATGATGCAGTGAAGTTCAAGGTGTTTGACTGAAAAAGCTGACAGGCTTTGTTGTATCTAGGTTTGCTGCACCAATTTACACGAACCTCACGATAAAGATTTCTAAATAAATGCGCTCTAATAATTGCTTTGTCAGGGATATATTTGGTTTTAAATATAATTAGCTAAATTTACAGACTGTGTGGGCTAAACCTAAGGGTCCTTTCTAATTGTACTATTAAGAAGTGAACATGCTAACATTTAACTTCATGGCCCGCAAACTTACGGTACTATCAGTGTATATAGTTGTGAAGAGAAAAGTATTCATAGGATTCTATATTTCTTCATTATGTGTTGCTTCAGTTAATTGCAGTTTGCAAGTGTTTATTTATGCACAACCCTCTTAAAGTGGACATGAAACAGTACATGTATTAAGGCCAATTTACACCATCAAGCCCTATGCTGAAAGTGTCACAGTTCTCACTCTGTCTGTGAAGCAGGATCTAAGATATAAGTCTTCAAAGTTAGAGTCACTGGGCTGGCTCGTCGGTTGCTGCTAATAGACTTAAGTTATGTTAGCTAAGCAGTGACAGACCTGCTGACTCAGTGAAAAACAAGGACACTTAAACTAAAACACTGTTGGCTAGCTGCACTGAAATGAGAAAATTTACCCATTAGCCATAATGTTTGGGTTTGCTTTGTTTGGTTTTCATCAAACATGGATTTTCCCAAACATTTTCACTTTAACTCGTCTCTCCAAAGGACATCGAGAAGTCTTGCCTTTTTTCCTCTGACAAGACATGGAACCACAGCTTCCTATTCAGTATCCTTGTTTGCAGCCTTATATGACTACATCCAAGTTTATTACAGCATTTAATCACCTAATTCACATTTTCTCTTCTTGTGAATGAATGAGTGAGTGAATAAATCGCTTTGTCCCACAGCTATATTTAGCTACTCAGAATGCATGGTGAGTTGATAAAGATTCTCTTCCTGAGCACAAGAGAAAACTGGCAAGACAATTTATCTCTTTGGACCAGCCTGTTCCCAAAATGTTTGTTGCCCAGCAGCAGACATCACACAGATCCTTTGAGAGAGGGGAAAAAAGGCTTGTTGTTGCATTGACATACAGTCTGTGTGTGGCTTTGTTGAGAATCCTTTGTCATCATTTTGACCCACAGGGGGAGGTGTGGATGTATGAACACCATATAGGAAGTGGTAAAGCGTGGGGTGATACTGCCACATACAGAACCGTGGGCACAGATAAAGAGCAAGGAGGAAGGAAAAAGGAGCTATGGAGAAAGCAGAAAAAGAAGGCACAGAGGTGGGACGAAACAGAAGAAGAAACAGAAACAAAGAGTGTAAAAGGGGACAAATTCATGCAGGCTTATATGTCCAATGATGTCCAGTGACCACTGGACTGGTGAAGGCCTGTCATCCAATGTTATGAGAACCAAGGCTTTCTTTCAATCAAAGGTGACGTACAAATTTAAAATTGTTGGACTGGATGAGGAGAATAACAAACCATATTTTGTTATGGATAAAAGAGTGTTCCTCACCTGTGGCTGCGGTAAATGTTTAGCAGTATAATGACGAAGCCCAAGCAGCAACAGGCCAGGTAGGGGCTACCAAAGAGCCCAGAGAGTCTTCGTGTACGATGCTCCCATCTCGCCACCTGACAACAGGAAGACAATGACAACGGTGTTTACCATAAATATCCAATTAAACTGCATTAAAAAACTGAAAGTTAATGATTGTTTGTCACACTATGTCAGTCTAAAAAACCCTCAAAGCTCAACTTTTTAAACTCAAGTTTGGCAGAGCTCCAGCATTGCTATGTGGAGCGAGGACAACCTTCCAGAAAGAAAATCATTTCTGCAGCACTCCACCAATCAGTTCTGCATGGTAGAGTGGCCAGAGAGAAGCTATTCCTTAATAAAAGACACATGACAGCCCATTTGGAGTTTACTAAAAGCCACCTGAAGGATTCATCTGTATTCATGAGTAGATCGAACAGGAGGTCCTGAAGCCACTGAAGCCATTTTTCTGCAGTCCCAGGTCAGTGAGGGAATGGGTTACACCAGTTTTACCAAGCAAGCATACTTTATAGTCCATCTACAAGCAACATTCAACCAAGAAAATAAGCTCCATGCAAAATCCTGTTCATTCTATGCCTGAAACATCTAGGTCATTATCACAACAGTTTTGTTTTTTTTGTTTGTTTGTTTTTTTACAGTATTATGTATGCAACAACAATACGTGCACATGAAAACATTGGCTTTACTGGCCATGAAAAATCAGAATGCTCTTGACAAAATACTGAAAATGGTCTCCTGGTCAATTTGCATATACTTTTGTGAAGTCTCAAAAGTGCTGCCTTTATCTGCATTTTAATGAAGTTTTCAAAAATGAATACGATTTTCACTGGAAGTGTCAAGGATGGACAGGATAAGAATATCAGACGGACAGTTCAGGTTGAGCTGTTTGGAGACAAAGTTAGAGAGGTGAAGCTGAGACGGTCTGGACATGTAGAGAGGAAGAATAGCGGCTATACTAGACAAAGGATGCTGGAGATGGAGCCGTCAGGCAGGAGGAAAAGAAGGCCACAGAGAGGGTTCATTGATGTTGTGAAAGAGGACATGTAGACGGTTGGTGTGACATAAGAGGATGCAAGGGATGGACGAGACAGAGGCAGATACACTGCTGTGTCAATCGCTAAAGAGCAGCCAAAAGAAGCCAAAAGAAAAAGAATAAAACAGGATTCTTTGGCTACCACAGCAGTTTCTCGTATAGAGACAGAGAGATCTTGTTTGCTTTTGGTATCTGGCTTTGAGCCTTAAATAGCTAAATATCATGACTTTTGTCTACAGTTTGGAAATATTGTGCCCGTGATAGAGACAGAAGAGTGCTGTTTGTTTGCATATGTTGTTCTGCCCTGAAGCGATTATTTGTTCAAGTTTATTTGTTCACCTCTGAAACAGCTGGTGCATTTCCACACAGCTGTATTCTCTTGCTGGCTATTGATAAGTGTTTATTTTTTTTAAGCTCTTTATATAGTACCGTGCATATCCAGCAGGGAGTGACGCCATAGAATCTTATCTAACTGGTCACAGTTGCATTTTCCAAAACACACTTCTCTCCCAAAAAAAGAGAATGGAAAATAGTCACATCCTACCCATTTATGCAGCACAAAAGGCGTTTAACCCATCTGTCCATACGGTGAACATTTCAGTGGCATTAGCAATGACTGAATGACTGAAAAACTTAAAATTACCACCTGACAGTGGGCTAAGGAAATGCATAATGACTGTAAAAAAAAAAAAAAACAACCCCAAAAACAACAAAAATGAATCCCACAGGGACAAATGTTACCATGGCAACAGCTTTTCTATGTTCAGCAGCGGCAAGGTAGGAAAAAAGAGGAGGAACATAAATATAAAGGTGAGGTGAAATGTCGTCTGTTTTGTTTTTTAAATCCCAGCCTTCAGCAAGCCGTATGCTGACATTTCCTTTTCCTTTCTTTCGTTTTTCTTCTGCCTCCTAACAGAGTTCAACTGCTATGTAATTAAGAGCCAGCAGCTGATGTACTTTGACTAAGATGTATGGTTACGTCCACAGTTTGCATTGCAGTCTGCCCCACATGGACATTAGCACACAGCGAGCTGGAATGAAACTGAACAATCATAGCAACAGTGGGGGGAATAAATAATGATTAGGTCTGCAGATAGCAGGTTTGTGTTGAAATGATGACGCAATGCATTTTACAAACACATCAACATATTATTTTACCAATTCACAATGGTTCTTTTTGAGACTCAAAGTAAGTGGCACTGATCTAAAAAAATAAAAAATAAAGACAGGATGTGTGCTCAATACAAAAATAAGAAAACATTTTTTTATATGCTGGTGAGAGCGCCCCATCAGCTTCACAATTCCTTGTATCACATAATAAACTGACTCATTCTAGCACCTCAATTTTGGGATGAATAACCTATAAAAGAGGTCATCTTCTGCTTTACTGCCAGTGTCATATACTTGCTCAAATGTCATCCTGAATTGGTCACTAGAGAAAAAATTTCCTGACCAGTTGGCAAAAAACACCTACTTGCAAATTTTCTAGGGTCACTCATGGGCTGCATGAACAAACAGCACTTATTTACACTATGCCCAGCTTTCTGTGCATTGTGCTTCTGGCATGCCAGAGGGTCTCTTATTTGATAGTTGTTGGCAACCCTACCTACACCACTACACCAGACTACAGCCCCTGCTAGACTGTGCTAAACTATCAGTGGAAACACAAACAGAAAATGCTGCGCTATATGGGCAGATCCTAAAAGATTCCAGCTAAATGTAGCTAACTAATAAAGCTTAACATGATGTTGCTCCAACTTTGGATGTTGAAAATGCATTTAACAATGTGTGTAGGCCAAAAAAGTCGAATATACAGATATAAACGAGAAGTAATTACACCTAAAATAAAATTGCTAATAACTATTTGGTCAATTAATAATAAATTAGCTTCTGTGCTAGCACTCATTCTCCTGAATCTAGTCTTTCAGCAAGTCATTCAGGCAGGTTTCCATGTACATCTAATGTTACGTAAGCATATCTGCCTCCCTACATGTGTCCATTATATCTCTATTATAGGTTTTTCCAGAGTTGACAGAAAATCATAGGAAAAAGTCATGACAACCTGGTAATGCCAGAACTAGGTGATGTCAAAAATAAGAGAGGAAACATTATGTAACCAGTCAAGTGTCCCTGATAAAACTACAGTTTAAGCTCCAACTGAATATAAATAAAATGCATAAGTACAGAGATGGGTTCAAAAGAGGTAGAGAGTGTACTCACCTAAGAGAGGAGGACATTTTGTGACCAATGAAATTCTTAGTCATTGATATTAAGAGTTTTATTACTTTCTGCTAAATATACCAGATGACTCAGGCTAATCCATGTTATTATACTTTATACATTAATGTGAAAAAGAATGGATACCGTCTTTAAATATTGAAGTTTTATATACTAGTGCATCACTTTTTTTTTAAAAATGATCAAAAGTTTATTCAATAGGAAAGATTCAATTCATGACAGTACAATTAGAAAAAGACTGAACAAGTATGGCTTGTTTGTCAGGAGGACAAAAAACTTCACAAACAATGTCTTTTGGACAGATAAGACCAAAGTGGCCATGACTGCCCATAATACACATAATACACAATACAGCATATCAGCACAAACACCTCAAACCAACTGTCAAGCACGTTGGTGGAGGTATAATAATAATTTGGACTTATTTTGCAGCCACAGTAACATGAACTCCTTTGTATACCAAAAACACTGTGCAGTCCAATGTGAAGCCATCTGTCCAATAGGTAAAGCAACAATGATCCATGCACATTATCAAAGAAAGGTCTAAATAGCTCACAAAAAGAACGATGTGTTGCAAAACCCAAATCAGATGGTATAAACAAATGCCTGCGAACCTCAATGAACTGAAGCAACTTTATACAGAAGAGTGACCAGTGCTCTAGATGGGCCTGATATCCACTTACGAGGACATTATACTGCTGCTGTTCTATCAAAACTTTGAACGAATATCCTCATATATGGCTCTTATTTTTCTTAAAAACAAAAATAAGGTAAGAAAAAAAAAAATCTGGCAATTCTTTATTTTTACATTCATCGGGCCCCAATATGCCCAAATATCAAAGAGAAATTAAAAATGCATGTCGTAGAAGAGTTCGGGTCGAGGTTAAACCATCTTATAAAGACATGTTGGGTTTTTTGGGGTTGAGTTGGGTTCTACTGTGTCTTTCCCTCTACATTGACCTAAAAAATCCAAAGTAAACTTTAACAAGGAAAAAGTCACTACTAGCACAAGGACGATAAAACACTATAGATGAAATTGCACTGAATGCACTGCTGTTTGGATGTTACAATGCACCAACTACACATGCTCCCCAGGGAGCAGACTTCAAACAAGTAACAGCAGTAACTAATTGACCACGGTTTCTCTCGCTGTCCATGTCCATGCCAAAAGAGAATAATCATGACTTTCACTGGAAAAAAATAAAATGACGACTTTGTATAAAGAAAAAAACAAAAAAACCCCACAGTCTCATGGCAGTTTGTGCAAGTTTTCATTGATACGATTCACGTCAATGTACATAAAAATCTATCACTATAAAGGGCTAAAATTTCTACATTTGTGGCTTGGAGGGATTGACAGTAGAGCAAATCCTTTTGCTAGACACATGGATTATATACTTCATATGTATTATTTAAGTTTTAGTAATTTAATTTAATAAATATTAGGTCTTTATTTAAAATTATTTGGTTATTTTAGGTTTAGGTTAGGACTATAAATTATTCTATCTACTGTAACTATCATGGAAAAAAAAAAACCGATTAGCTTAGCTAATTCTTAGTAATCTCAAACCCAACAAGCATACCTCCATCATCCATATTAGCAGGCCATTTATGTTAGTACACTCTCTTCTGATCAGGCAGTGGGCCTCTAAGCCTCGTTCAGCCTGATTTGCAACCATTCACTGGGTGATGGCGTATGCTAAAAATATTCAGGTGTTCTGTATGCAGACTACTGATGTTGCTATCAAATCATCAATCAAGCGCTGAAACTAACAGCAGGCACAGATGAGGAGAGTACAGGCAGTG